TATCGATTACCGCTCAGACCATATGCTCATGGGAGTGTATTGGCGTTTCGTGCTTACAAACGTCTTGTTACCCAAAAATGTTAGTGCTGACAAAATTCGATGCATTTAGGTAGTTAACCACCTTCACGAGAACGTTCCTCATCTGCTCTTTTGTTGGAAAGTCGTGGCATTTGCCTATCCATCGCTATTAAGAACTGCATTCCACACCGAAAAGCCATCACCAGGATCTTGCTTATGAATCTACGCCTCAGCAAACGTAAAACCTAGCAATTGCATATCAGTCAACGGCTATGAGATTGTATGACGTCATTAGATCTACGAAGCTCGTTTCCTTTGCCTTGTTCGACGATATTTCACTGGCGCAGGATGCGTACATCCTCGGGGAGTCGAACTAGGAGTTCTGCGTTGTCAGGCTGCAGTCAGAAAACCGACAATGGATGTGCGTGGCACTGAAATTGGAAAAAGGCGCGCTGTCGATGACAAAAGAGGGCCTTATGGGCATTTTCGGTATTCTTTAAAGTTTAATTTAGAGGTCGTCGAAGTCACACTTCCCTGCCCTGTCGTTGAAAGGCTATCCATTTCGGAGTTATGCCGTTCGCCACCCCAGTGTACACCCAGCCGGACGTCTACCGACTGTAGCCTTGCTAAGCCTCCCATTACTGCGACTGTACGTTGTCATCTCTTACTGAACTCTGAGTAGGGGTCTAGCACCTTTTCAAACAACAAAGCCCGTGCGAAAGTTTATTGCCATCTGATATCTGCAAGAGTTGTGCCATTGCTATTTCTCAGCAGCAGGTTTTTTTTACCTTGAATCTACCCCATGGAACTTAAGTTGTCTCTCTTTTCTCCATGATCGCTGACAAAGCAGGATTTCGCAAAGCTTGTGACCTCATTCTAATCTATCTCGCTAAGATCTTCGCGAGTATATGCTGGAACCTCTTCCGTTCCGTCGTGGACATACGGAACGGTATTTATCCAGAACAGGAAAAATGATGAGTCAAAGGGCTAGGGGCGTCATAGTAGCCGACAGTGTGTCTGAAATATCCGAACTTATCAAAATCCGACATAAAAATCACACACGCGAAAGCGCATAAATCGCAGTCAAGGATGCCGTCCAATACGGCTAGCCTCTCCTACCAGCTCTCTTTGTTTCACTATGCTTCATTTACGAAAATCTACGTGTCTTACAGTGTGCAGGAATTGTAGGACCTTATCGTCTCAGACCTGGATTGTGCCATTCGTATTGTCTTGCCCAGAGATTTTCTCAACACTTCTCACCAAATAACGACGCCTGTATACCTAAGCAACGTCGTATTACTTGATAA